GAAGATAAACGATGCTATAAAAGAATCCCTATCTTTTATAAGAATAAAGTACACTTCGTTGACAAACTTTCAAGACGAACCTATTTCTGGGATACCGCAGTCCCATGTGGATCAGAAAATAGCCACAATGTAGTACAACTGAACCCTGATGATGATAAATATTACCTTCTTACCCCATATCCCACATTAATGCAATCACTCAAAAAATTTTCACCTGAAAGCATTAGAGCTATTGTTCGAAACCCAAATATTGACTTACAATCAATTGGAATATATTCAAAATCCGATATACAACATCACATTAGAACACAACAATTCCAGGAATTATTAACACAAATGGACACGATACAAAAACAATCAATTGACCAAAACTTACGCAAACTTGCCGAAACAGCAGGATTTGCAGACATTTATACACAAGATTATAGCGGATATTTTAAAGACATTAAAGACTATATATATCTCAACGGTGAAAAATACCGACCACAAGATATCTCACCTATAAATATTTTTAGCTTTGTTACACTCAAAAATGAAATTCTTGATTTTCTAGGATGGCCCTATTACATCTTAGAAAAATTAACTATTTCAAACGCAATGTTTAACTTTATAGGATTTCTTTTCTCACTCTTAAAAGGAATCTATAATACATGCGCTATACACACACACAAGTAAATAGACAAGCAAGTGTAGCACGCATCTTATTTGCAGGATTTTTTGGAATTTTTTCATCATCAATAAACAAAATTCTTTTAGACGCACAAATAAAAGAATACAACACAAAAATAGCAACAAGACAGAACACATATGACGAAGAACATAACAATGTAGACATTACGCCTACAGCACCACAGTTACCACCCCTACCACATAACCATCCATTATCACTAGTCCCACGAAATTTTCGAAATTTAGCAATAACACATACTCCAAATTTCAGACCAACCATATCACAAAGTCCCATTCAACATATGATGACACACAATTCACTAGATGAAAATACATATGAACAAATTATAGAACAACCACATACAACTGCTTTTCAGTCTCAAAATAATAATTTTTTTAGCCCACGATGAGCCGACCACTTGGATCCCTACACCGCTCAAATTCCCACCCAACCAACCTCAACACTCCAATTACAATAATTCCACTTTTTGCTTTCCCGCCACCCGATTTCCCAAACAATAATTCAACATCAGGCATGAATTCAGACACTAATTCACATAACTCAGTTTTATACTCCATCTCACAACTCAATAACCCAGATATTGAAACCCCTGATGAATTTGCCGACTCTGAACCATCTCCATCCAATAATTTTCAAACCAATCCCTCAGTTTTTTTGAAACCCTCTTTTCAACCAATCCCACCATATAACCCACTCCCATCCATTTCTACACCCTCCTATGCTTCACAAGTTACCCCAACCTACTCTTCACTTCATTCAGATCGATCATCCAATTCTCCAGACACCCCCCAAATCTCCCAAGAACTAGATAATTTTATCACCTTACGACAACAACCCTTCCACCTTGACACCTCAACTATAAACCAGATTTCATCAACCATAGAATCATCAAACCCATCTACCCCTACACCCTCTTCAGCTTATACCGCATCACTAGAACCATCATCCACATCCAACGAATCATCAATTAGCACTAATAGAGCTTACCGCACTTTCAAAAGAAAATTCCCAAACCATCCATTTCCAACAAAACCAGGAACAGCCCGTGAATATATTAATCATCCAAATCACACTAACACGAAAGATTTTTTAGCCATCACCTTACCCTCATTTCCACAGTATACTTTAAATACCCCTAACGACACTAACGACACACGTAGTTTTGTAGATGAACAAGTTTTAATGCCTACACTTCATTGGACATCATATTATCATTTTACTAACCCCCTTTGCCTACCTTTATCTAATACTCACATCGATATAGAACGAAATCAAGATATGCTATATCGACTCACAACACCACTAACACATAGACAATTTACTTACATCGGATATAAAAAATCACTAAAAACATACACTGCACCCCGAGCTAACGAATATACGCTAGAATATTACGATCATAACATCATCCGAACTAACCAAGACCAATTTTTAGATGATGATCGCTTCGCTAACCCACAAATCACAGAAAAAATTTTCATCAAAACACCATATGTTTTTACACTCAATATATTTGATCGCAAATTCGACCACATCATTTCTGAAGCACTAACCGACACACAAGCTTACGAAAGTTTTAAAGAAAGATTTCAATTATTTTCACTAACCTTTCATTTCCTTGCACCGCATGAACGAGATTTGCACTGCTCACACGACATTATGTTACGCACTAAACAAACCCACACATATACATATTACCGCTTTATACAGAATCACTTTGACCTACACACTCCATCAAGACAACCACACCATCGTTTTCAATTTATTAACTCTAAATACACATCACCATTTTTTCTTAATTTCACATATTGCATCAAAGATACTAACCTTCACGGTATTCTTCGCAATTATGATCCCATAACCCAAATGTATATTTTTTGTCCCATCACAAAGACCTTCAACGCAGAAGAATCCAGACCCTTCCTTATCCCACATGAATTTGTTCAACCTATAGAAATCCCCATATTAGAATTCATCCACAACACTAAATATAACCACAAATTATATAATCTCATCCAAAACACACCTTATGAGTTTGCAGTTGGCACTGAAGAACTAAAAACCATTGCTTTGGCCACTGCTTCAAACTAAAAACATCATTCGCATACTAGCAAAGTTACTAACAAATTCCGACATAATCCACGACATCTTCCCCCACGGTTTTTTCCCCGACGACTAACAGGTAAGTATAATTTATACATATTCTTAACTAATAAATTTAAAATAAAACACTAACCATTCTTTATCCATGTTTTATTTAGATTTTTAGTCTTCATCTCACGATCATCTGCAAAATACAATAAAGAAAAATAAAAAATCGAAAACTTCTTCAAATTCTTAAAAACTCTATTAATATTTTACACTAGATAAATTCAATAAAATTCATACCAATGTAGTAAATTAATTTATAAATTATTTCCCTAAAAGCAGTAATTCTAATAATGATGAAAATTTGTAACTTAATTTTTCCCCAAAACTAGCAGTAAAATTGAAATTCTATGTAGTAAATTGATAAAACGCAAATGCAGTACTAACCTTTTGATATTTTCATTCACTCGCACAAGAATTCTATCCAAACTCGCACAAGCTCGCCCACGAAGAATTGTTTAAATAATGAATTTCAGTTTTAAGTTTTCACACTCAACAACTCTAACACACGATAACAAGTTTCAAACTTTCCTTTAACCCGGTTGGAAAGGAATTATATACTAAACAAAACTAACCAATGCAGCTTACTAAACACCACAACACATAGAATAACAGCATGACTAAGAAAAAGAAACCAACGGTACCCAAACCGGATTAACCCAGTTTAAAACTGGATAATTTATTCTTTTGAAGACTATTATAAAGTCTAAGAAAGAAATAATAAAACACAAAAAAGTCGAAAGACAAACCCATACCAAAAACAATTTGATTTTTGAAAAAAGTACACAACCAACGAAACATAAGAAAAACCACAATAAACTCAACATAAAACGTTATCACATATCAGGACCTCTCACAGAAACCGCACAAAATCATACTCCCACTCCTGGCCTAACCCACCAGAGAGGACGTCCTGAGCATGCTCTATAGCCGGCCTAACCCACCGCGCTACATCCACGCTTTGTGACCACACTCCTATTTTTAATAAGAGGTACTCAAGGGTGAGTAACTCTTCAAAATAACCGAACTAAAACAAAAAGCTTTTGTGAAAACAACTAAGCAAAATCATAATTAAAACACCAAACTAATAAAAAATTTATAAAATGTAAATTATACCTTGCAGTATATAGATCAGCATACAACACCAAAGACGAACATCCAAAGACAAAATGACCCCAACACACTCGAAAAAGAATGGCCTACCACAATCAATATGCCGCCCACAATCACAACTCAAAGGATTTAGAGTACGACTTGACTTCGCAGAAAAGGACTTCATTGAACTAGACCAATGACCACCTCGATGTTCAAGTATACGTACAGATCCGAGTAAGCAGGCATCCCCTCCACGCACAATCTCCACGCCATTCCCAGACAAGGTCAAACACAAAGAACTTCTCTACATGAAACGAAAAAACCTGTCATAGCCAACCATTCTGAAATCAGATTTGAGTTTGTTGCGAAAACCCAGTCGTTGTCATGAGAAGACACAACGATTGAACCTGGAACTTCTCTAACAAGAGAACCCAGACGAAATATGATGTTCGCCAAAAACCAACGTTCATCATCCATCCTTTGAATTACAGAAAGACTATTCTAAAAAAACTCTGTAAAACCCGGATGGGTGGAACCTGATCTAAACTACATTTTATGATTGGATAAATTAGATATTTTACCACTGTAAAGTATTTAATATTAACCAATCATGATCCATCAAACTAACAACCCACTTATTTGTAATTGCTGGAATTACTTGTAATTTCAGCACCAGAGAGATTTGAATTTAACTTAGAAATTAGTTGACTCTCCAAGAAGACTTCAGCAGCCGCAATAAACCAGTATACCCTAGATCTATTGAGCCTAGCAGAGACTAGTTAAACACCCTGAGACTAGATAGTATAAGAGTAAGATTAGGATCGGTATTAGACTAAGAAGTTGCACGAATCTATCCGGCCGAAAATAAGATAGCGTGACGAGCAGACGGTGTACCCTATCCGAAATTACTCTATGAGTTAACCACATCGGTCATAACTCAAAGTGCCTAAAATTCATTAAAAAGATTCAAAACGTCATCATTTGTTTTAGAAAACCACACCCGCCCCGTACTCAGTTGGTCGAAACTTCGACACGCCCTCCCCTTTTATTTAACTGTGATGTGTACCTTTTAAACCTGTCTGTACACATGCGAATGAGACTGTCTCTTCTGCTTCTGTCTGGGTCGGGGGGCTCGGTCCAATCTGTGTACTGGAACAGGATCGCACTCAACCCGCACTGGCCTAAGTCACTGTTCAATCCGGCTGTGTACTTCTTGAAGTCGTAGGGGGTGTGGTAGCTGTCGGCGTCAATGTCCACCATACCTGTTTAGGACACAGTTTATAATTATTTGTATGATTTTTTGTTGTTTACGGGGAAGGGATAATAGTTATCTACAATGACAGAGGCTTCTGATAATTTGAAACTTTGAAAAAAAATCTCAGTTTCGCTTTACCACTTTATCCCCAACTCTCGTTGATATAGAGATGAAAAAATACCGAATACAGCAAACAAATACAAATACAAATACTCATTTTCTCTGATTAATAGCTTCGGAATTTTTAAATTATTGTGTCATTGATGAATTTATGCCGATATGAATTGGTCTGTGGTGAATTGTTCATACCTGTGAATGCGAGCCCGTTCACCCCGGCGTTGCTGTTCACACCCGCTATCACATTTATCCCCAGAACCTGTAGAACAGAAGTATGCCATAATTTGGTTCAAAATGTAGCAATAGCAGAGTAAGATCTGGGTTTTTCTCAATGGGGTGAATTTTCGAAAAACGATAAAAATTTTGTCGATTTTTTGTAGGGGTCAACCGTGCAATCTCCTCCCACCCTAAGTGACCTCCCTTCCCAAGCTTGTAATAACTCTGAAAAATCATTCTGTATAGAATATGCATTTCATACAATTAACGTGCAAACCAAATTGGTTTTTACATATCCTATTCGGGGTTGCATTTGTAGGCTGTTAATCAGGTGCGGATTTAATGGGGGGGGGGGGCTGGGGGCGGACGTTCTTTCAGGGATTCGACTCCCTGCCGACCCAAAGGGTCCCCCCTTTGTACTATTTTGAGATATCTAAATTTGGTGACGGACTCTAAAAATTTTCTAAAGGCGCCTTTGGCGTCAATATATACTAACTTTGAGGGGGAGTGCGCGCCAAAAGAACGCAAACATTTTGGTCAAATCATTCCAAAAATTGCCTAAAAACGCGATTTTTGGCCTGTTTTTTTTCAAAATTTTGGCTGCGGTGCAGAAAGTTTGAGCAGAACAGTCTTTTTAGTGCTTTCAGAGAGCTCGCAAGGTAATTTTATTTAAAAAAAGGTCGACAAAATTTAACAGCCCCTGCTGTTAATTATACAAATTAGTGTCTTAATTCAATTTTCTTCAGTATTACCAACAATTTTGAACAACTCTGGGCTATAATCAAAGCTAGCTTATGAAAAATCCATACTTTACACCCCCTAAATCGATCTGGCCACTATTTTGCTAAAACAGATGTAAAATAGTACGAACAAGGGGACGCTTTCAGGTACCAATCCTTTAGAGGAGGAGAAAAATGACTTAATTTCAAATTGGAAAAACAATTTTGGCAGCACTAAAAAAATTCAAAAATTTTGCAAAAGAAGCTTCTAAAATGTTTTTTGAGCTTTTTCAGAACAAAATTTTCCATGTTACATAGTATCAACTTTATGCAACATAACTTACCCGAACTCAGTTTTTAACGCAAACCATTAGCAGGAGCAAACAGAAGGACGGAATAGCAAAAATTTTCAGCCAATCAGCTGCCATCAAATTTCCTAAATTTGCTTTCTGTTCTCAATTCTGACTGGTTAATATAGTATTTGTCTACTTTTTGGCCGGTATGAAATAAAATTTGTCTACTTTTTGGCCGCATTCCATAATATTTGCCTGCTTAGTGACGAGCATGAACACGCAGTTGTCTTAATACTGCTAGGTAACCCTTTTTATATTGTTTAATTTGCCATATTTTGTTATAAGGAAAACCCCATTTTAAAGTATCAGTGTAATTCATGTTTCGTCTTCAATTCGGCTATAGAACATACGCGCTTACTGAAACATCGGCAAAGTCCTCATTAAAAAATGATTAAAATTTATAAACTGTAGTTCTATCAGAATGTACTCAGAAAGCTCAAATCAATTGCTAAAATCAAATTAATCCAAGAGATTAAAACAAATTTTAGTCGATCAAAATTTAAGCAGATAACGCAGGCGGGCTGCTTCGTCTTGCATATTTGCTAGTGTCGAGACACGGTTACATAGCAGTATTTAGACGACCACTTATTCATACTCGTCAGTTAAGCAGACAAATACTGTATTAACCAACCGAAATAGAAACAAGGAAACAATTAATATTTATTTATTTCATAAGTTTGATCTCAATTCTGATTGGCTAATACAGTACTTGCTGCTTGCTGACGAGCATAAACATGCGGTTGTCTAAATACAGACCGCACTCCCGAAACACCAAATGTTAATGAAAAGGCCTGGTGGTTATCGATGTAAAACTCAACACCCATCGGTCAACTGAAAGATAGTGATTTTATTCTTTCTGTTAAATTGCTTATGCTTTCTGGTACAAAAATTTCGATGAGTATGGTTTTGTTACTGTCTTAGACGAAAATGAGAGGTTGCATTTTTTCTTTAAATTAGTCTCTCAATCATTTGAGTAGCCACATTTGACATCTATTTCAGTGATTAGCCATGTATTAGCATATTTGAATGACCAAAAAAAAATTGTTCACAGGTAGCCGAAATTTAGCTTCGGTCTAGAACTAAAAACCTTCAACGAGGCAGTACAATAGTGCCGAAGTACAACAGTATCGAAAAAGATAAGATTGTTCAACAGGTCCGAAAGTTATTTTAAATACTGTTTTTACTGATCCCAAATCACTGACAAGAAAAGAAATTCAGCTCGACAGAAGTTGAAAACTCAAAAGTGGTCATTTCAATTGATGTCACTTGCTAAACAAACAAAAGTTCCCCAAGCGCCGTGTCATAAATTTAACATTTAACCCGGCAAATTGCCAAATTTTTTCTTTTCGATTTCGCTCCAAAACAAAACATTATTCAAACAAATTGTCAACAATTTGCAGCAAAATTTTGAAAAACAGAATAAAACAGGCCAAAAAAAAAACGTTTTTAGGCACTTTTTTGAAAATTGTGATCAAAAAGTTGCGCCTTTTCGGCGCGCGCTCCCCCTCAAAAATATTATATATTGGCGCCGAAGGCGCCCTTAGAACATTTTTAGAGTCCATCACCAAAAACAGTACAAAGGGGGAACCTTTGTGTCATCAGGGGGTCAAATCCTTGAGGGGGTAAGTCCACCCCCCGCCCCCCTAAATTCCCTATTGAACGCCCCTTCCAACACTGGTTCACGCAAACTATATCTCAAGCGACAAATGTAAGCACAGTGGAGCGAAGCAGAGCAAGCGCTCACTAGTTGCCTGCCTGACAATGCCGCGAAACTTTGTTTGTACTGATGCGAAGTATTGGGTTATTCAGTTTCAAATATATATCGGCTCGACCCCTTGAAGTCGAAAAATGAGTTTGTGAACCCGTACCCAACAAAGGCTTTTAAGCTGGATAGAACTTTTACATTGATGCCCGGGTTGACCTCCATAGATCAAAAATGCTAATCATACAATTCCATAAACTAAGTCTATGAAAAAATACTAGTCATACAAGTTACATACAATTTGCTAAAATGGTGTCATCGAATTTTCAAAATTGTTTTTCTTGCTTTGGCGTAAAAGTCGGTCAGTGTCTCTTACTATAAAAAAAGAAAAAAAATTTTGTCAAAAAAATGATAATCATATAACTTTGAAATTGCTGCAAAATATTTTTTTTCAACTACAAATTGAATTTGGTTAAACATTTTCTAAAAAAAAATTTGCATGCAAAATTTAATTTTTTGTGTGCATAACGCAGTCCTGGATACACAAAAATGATATTTTTTCCTTTTTTCTAAAACGCTATAAACTCCTTTTTTTGTATGGCATGTTTATGTATGCCTTGATTAATGTCTGATAATTCGGAAAATCAAACTTTAAAAATAATCAAAATCAGCCAAATTTCAAAAGTTTGATGCTTTCAGTATATCATTTGTTCAAGAAAACTCTGGTACAATTCAGGTCGTTTCCAATGCATTGTAAATGCGAGACGATCAAACCTTTGGCGACTCTAGTGTTGAGAAAACCATGCTTTTTGTCATTTGTGTTCGGTTACAAACATATTCTAAAAATTTTGAAAAATTAAATTTTAAAAAAATCTATGTTTTTGGTTAATGGAAAAATGCTAGTCATACTATTTCCATATATGAAAAATTACTAATCATAGTTTTCTCATGCTATTTTTTGTACGTATGGAATTGCATGATAAGTGTATGACTAGCATATTTCCATATATGAAAATTGTATGATCAGGATTTTTGGTCAATTCGGGTATTCTATCCTAATCATTTCAGGAAATATCTATTACTTGTCTTACATCAGAAATAAAAAAAGTTGTAGATAAATCTATAGGATTTACAAAAAACTGCAAAACATGAGAACAGTTTTTGGAAAACGGCACGACTTTGTTTCTAGAAATATTTTATTTCGTAAAATTGTTGACCAGAAAGCAGATCAGAAATGAAACCCAGAGGCAAAAATTATGATTAAAAATTAACAACTTCTCGTCAGGGTTTTTGTTCTGTTATACGACCCATATCTGATGTTTTTGTTTTTTGAAAATTGCATCATATTTCTCGTCTTATCTGATTGGTTGAATTATTAAAACCAGGGGCGGATCTAGGATTTTCTCGAGGGGGGGGGGGTGGATTTTCAAAAAAATTTTGAAAATTTTGACGACCTTTTCTTTTCGGGCGACCACATTGATTTTCCGAGATCTCCTAAAGCACTAAAAAGACTTTTTTTGGGCACTTTATGGAAAATTTTGACAAAAAAAAATGCGTTTTTTTTGGCGCGCGCTCCCCCTCAAAGTTAGTATATATTGGCGCCAAAAGGCGCCTTTAGAAAAATTTTAGGGTCGGTCGGCCAAAAACGGATTTCTTAAAAAGTACCAAAGGGTCGGCAGGGGGTCGGCCTTTGGGTCGGCAGGGGGTCGAATCCCTGAGGAGGGGGAGTCCGCCCCCCCTAAATCCGCCCCTGATTAAAACTATTAACAGCAAAAAAACTCAAGATTTTTGTTAAAAACAGAAACTCAACGAACAATTCGACAGTTTTAGGCCGTATAACAGAAAGGCCCCCTCGTCAGAAACAAAGAACTTGTTAGGTGGTGATACCTGGAACTCAAAGAACATGGATCTGAGCTGTTGTTCGTCGTAGTTGTTGAACTGGAGGAAGTTTGTCACCTCTGGTCTTACAATGTCCCCGTCTATGACTGGTGTCCAGGGATATCTGCTGTAATATCTGTACCATCCCTTCACTGAAGGGTACTGGCCAGCTCCCCCCTCCAAAGACATGTTTAACATTTGCTCCTCAGTCAACTGTCAAAACACACGTTTTTGTTCCGACTTTCGAACACAGGAATGTTTGGCTCCAAGGAGTTTTTTACTCAGTCTAATTTCGACTTTTTACTTGCACCTATCTATACTGATTTTACCTTTTGTTCTGTTTTAGTTTCTCGTAAACATACTTTGCAACGTGCAAGAAAACTTTTCGCTGAAGGAGTTGCGTTTTAAAATTTTAGAAATATTGCTCAAAACTTCAAGTATTGGTTTGCTCTGTTAATTTCAATTTTTAGTGTTTCAAAGACCATTGTCAGAAGCTGCAATTTGATCTTAGTTTGTTCGCCCTGATTATGTTGCAAAATAAATTTGGTTACCATAGGCTTACATCTAATCTGTGGCCAATGTTTCATTCCATATATGGAATATATGGCCGATTACATCTTACCTATGGTCTTATGTAGTCTGCAAATCTCCAAAAAGAAGCCATCTTATTGAAAAATCTCCTCAGAGCAGAAATAAGTCAAATTACGGCCTCGTCAATTTCATTGATTTGTTAAATTTTCAGATAAGAAACTAAAAAAGCCGAAAAAATAATTGAAAAATATAAAAACAAAACCGACCGCTCCCATGCAAGTCATGTTGATAGAATCCAGTTGGGGGTTTGCAGGGTCCGGTTGGTCCAGACACCCGTAGATCTGGGCAGACACATTGGAGTAGAATTTGATCTCGGACGGTGCCTGGAAACTGCCAGGAGAGAACAGTCCCTTGCCACTCATGAGGACGATGTTACTGATGAGCTAAACACCCCCAACTTCCGGGTTATAATTGGTTATTTTTTCTTTTCCCCACATTTTCAATGCCATCATTCTTATGCTGTATCCAGCCGGTTGGATAAAATCTGTATGCAAAAAAAAAATGTTTGAAATAGAGTATTGAGCTTACATGCTTAAATATTACAACAAATGGGCGTCGTGAGCAAAAAAAATGTCTTGTAAATATTTTGTTGGGATTCCTAGAAAAAAAATTATAGAAGGTGGACATGTCCATTTTTGAGACCAATACTCTCGAATCGAAAAAAAAATTGCATAGTAGCAATCAGGAATTAAGGTATTTGATTTTTGTAACAGCCCCTTGGAGTGTTGAAAGAAGAAACTATGGCACTTTGTGGGACCACGACAACTCGCAACGACAAACTTTTTTGGGACTGCAATAACTCGAAAAAAATTACACAAGTGATCGAATTTTCTGATTTTGTGAGTTGTCTTGTTACTACACCTACACCATTTTAGGTATTCCGAGGAAAGCTTCAAAAGGCTTGATTGTGATGTGACATTAATACAGTTTCAATCGTAATTTACAATCCAAGCAGGCATTCTTACAATGCCTCTCAGTGACTGAAGAACTGTTTACTTCCGTTATTCGCCTGAAAGAATAGTATGAGAAATATGGGTCTAGGGCAAACATCGCATATGTCAAACATCCGCTATTTCAAGCATCCGAACATATATAATAATTATGCTATCTCAAAAAAATTTCACAATTAGGACATTATCCGATTTCAATTTAACTGATTCTCGTTTTAAGATCGCCGGTGGGAACACTACACGCGCGTTGCCCCATCGCGGCGATAACCGGCTCTAATTTTAATAGGATTTCCAACCCTCTTTTGGCAAACTCGCAACAAGTTGACGCGATCCGCCTTCATTCGACCACTACAGCACCTCTTAAGCGACTGGTAGAAATGGTATCTTTGCTCTATTTTTTGAAAAATATAAGTTATTTGCCCTTGTAAAGCTGTTTTGTGGATGTTTGCAACATTTTTCGTTTTTTCGGATGTTGAGGCGGTACCCATCTGCTAACATCTGATACATGAAACATCCGGAAAACAGAAATTAGTTGGAAACACTTAAGAAACAGCTTTGCTGGCGCAAACATCCTGCACTTTTTATGACCGAACTCATGGTAATTTTAAACCAAGAATTGATAACTTTAAATCAAAAATCGGTTAAATGGAAAACAGTTAAATGAACTATGTCTTGTTGTTGAAAAAATGTTTTTCATATAATTACGAAATTCTGTAATAATTTTTAAATTTTGTTATAGCCAATATTTGCACCAGATCTCAGAAAAAATATATTTTTAAAATAACTGAACATAATTTAACGTTTTAAAGCACATCAGAAAATTATTGTACCATAATTTTTGTCCTTTATGTCGCGATCGGTAATAGTGGATCACCACGCGTCCAAAATTGCTAAGGCATCAAGATGGAAATTGCGCGACTTTTTTTGCATCGCGACGGGTCACAAAATACCATTTTGAGTCAAAATGATAAAAATTGAATAGCGATGATTGCGCTGTAATCATTTTGAATCGAGATAAAACCCCAAACCCGGAAAGTGACTTCGCAAAATTCCGTTCTTCGTTGAACTTTCAAAAAACAACAATTTATTTAAATTCTACTTAAAAAAATATGTGTCCGTGATCAGTCCGATTGTGAATCTCGTTTACTGTTCTTTATTTAATAAAATTAAAATAAAGACCCTTCTGCCACTATTTTGTCCCTGAAAAAATCAAGTAATTTTTAAATTTTTTTTTCGAGATTAGCAAACATTGCCTCAGAACAAAATCAATTAGCACGGGCCATACCATAGATTGACTTTTACTTTTCCGCTCCCAATATAAACATCAGTCTAATGTTATAATTGGCAGTTTTACATGACTAAAAAAGAAGACTATATATTTGTTGTAATAGCCTTATTAATCTCGTGCCAATTTTTATGTTAACTCGACAATACGAACAGAAGTTTAATGCGCCCGACAATATAAAAAGAACTTAAAAGAAGATTGCAATAAAAAAGCGGACAATTTTTTATACCTCAGTCTAAATGCGAAAAGGTTAAGTTTTGAAATTGGAAATTTCGGAACGTATGTGTTTTAGTTTTTACAAAAAACGCTACTACCAACCAAATCAATTGAAAATTACATTCTCCAAATCATGTTCTCCCATAATGAAATTGTCAAAAACAGTGTGATTTTAGTAATTTTTTAGTGCATGAGCCATACATCATTGTTATTTAAAGTCAATCTGATATCGAGATGAGGCATTGAAATTTTTTATTTCGTATGACCATTGCTTCTTAATACTTTTGTGAGCACTAGTGCTAATCGGTTTAACAGCTTGTTTTTTATTGTTTATTTTGACGAGATCAATGTCTGACATGGTATTTTTTGATGATTAAACAGTATTTTCATTTCAGTTCTGACTATATTGTTTAATGTTTTGAACACAGTGCTGTTTTAATTTATAAAGAAGATACGAATACAACTTCAAACTTAAAACGCGTTTTTCTCAAATTGGGTTAGTTTTTTGGGGACTGTGCGCGTCAATCTCCAAGATTATAAAAAAACGGTTTTTAAACACTTTAATTAATGAGTATTTTCTCGGCAAAATAACTCCGGAAATTTGAAAATATAAGGATAATTTATAATGTTTAACAAGCTTTATCATCGGTAACATCGGCTACAATAAACTGCATAACTCAAAGCAAGCTGCAAAAATGGCCAGTATTTGTCCTTGAGACAAATTGCTCTTTTTAAAGGTCAGCCTTAACCAAGGCTGAACCAAATTAGAGCGAAAAGACGGTTAAAATGGGTTTTGGGGGGACCGAACCTGGTTACGGAGCATCCTATCAAGTTCGGTGCACATTCGAGTTCTAGAAAGGAAATGACCTAGGCGGGATTCGAACCGGCGCCGAAACCGCCGGGACGCACCATGTATACGCTCGGCTACTGTCCCTATATGCATTTATATTTTGTTTCAGTTTTATCCATTTATACTCTCGCACATTTACATTTGCGCTGCAACATCCTCCGCCCCTATATAAAAATATAAAAATTGAATAGCGATGATTGCGCTGTAATCATTTTGAATCGAGATAAAACCCCAAACCCGGAAAGTGACTTCGCAAAATTCCGTTCTTCGTTGAACTTTCAAAAAACAACAATTTATTTAAATTCTACTTAAAAAAATATGTGTCCGTGATCAGTCCGATTGTGAATCTCGTTTACTGTTCTTTATTTAATAAAATTAAAATAAAGACCCTTCTGCCACTAATTTGTCCCTGAAAAAGTCTATTTTTTAAATTTTTTTTCGAGATTAGCAAACATTGCCTCAGAACAAAATCAATTAGCACGGGCCATACCATAGATTGATTTGTACTTTTCCGCTCCCAATATAAACATCAGTCTTATGTTATAATTGGCAGTTTTACAAGACTAAAAAAGAAGACTATATATTTGTTGTAATAGCCTTATTAATCTCGTGCCAATTTTTATGTTAACTCGACAATACGAACAGAAGTTTAATGCGCCCGACAATATAAAAAGAATTTAAAAGAATATTGCAATAAAAAAGTGGACAATTTTTTATACCTCAGTCTAAATGCGAAAAGGTTAAGTTTTGAAATTGGAAATTTCGGAACGTATGTGTTTTAGTTTTTACAAAAAACGCTACTACCAACCAAATCAATTGAAAATTACATTCTCCAAATCATGTTCTCCCATAATGAAATTGTCAAAAACAGTGTGATTTTAGTAATTTTTTAGTGCATGAGCCATACATTATTGTTATTTAAAGTCAATCTGATATCGAGATGAGGCATTGAAATTTTTTATTTCGTATGACCATTGCTTCTTAATACTTTTGTGAGCACTAGTGCTAATCGGTTTAACAGCTTGTTTTTTATTGTTTATTTTGACGAGATCAATGTCTGACATGGTATTTTTTGATGATTAAACAGTATTTTCATTTCAGTTCTGACTATATTGTTTAATGTTTTGAACACAGTGCTGTTTTAATTTATAAAGAAGATACGAATACAACTTCAAACTTAAAACGCGTTTTTCTCAAATTGGGTTAGTTTTTTGGGGACTGTGCGCGTCAATCTCCAAGATTATAAAAAAAAACGGTTTTTAAACATTTTAATTAATGAGTATTTTCTCGGCAAAATAACTCCGGAAATTTGAAAATATAAGGATAATTTATAATGTTTAACGAGCTTTATCATCGGTAACATCGGCCACAATAAACTGCATAACTCAACGCAAGCTGCAAAAATGGCCAGTATTTGTCCTTGAGACAAATTGCTCTTTTTAAAGGTCAGCCTTAACCAAGGCTGAACCAAATTAGAGCGAAAAGACGGTTAAAATGGGTTTTGGGGGGACCGAACCTGGTTACGGAGCATCCCATCAAGTTCGGTGCACTTTCGAGTTCTAGAAAGGAAATGACCTAGGCGGGATTCGAACCGGCGCCAAAACCGCCGGGACGCACCATGTATACGCTCGGCTACTGTCCCTATATGCATTTATATTTTGGTTCAGTTTTATGCATTTATACTCTCGCACATTTACTTTTGCGCTGCAACATCCTCCCCCCCTAAAGACGGAAGAACAGGTGCGAGTTTTACGGTCGGTCGTATCAGCTCGCTCGTAACAGTTTTGATATCGGCGGATCGGGCGCATCCGTCTTTGCCGTAGTGTAGTTTAGCAATACGGGCGAGTGGGTAATGCCCACGTGGGCTGTCGGGTTCGACTACCCAAACCAAGTCGCCGGTTTTCAGTGTGACATCCGAATCATTATGCCACTTTGCTCTCTTGTTGAGAGATGGTACATATTCACGCAGCCAGCGTGATCAAACTGCGTTAGCGTACGATTGTGCTCTGGCGTAACGCTTTTTATAATCAAAGTTATCTTCGAAACTTAACGACGGGAAGCTAGCTGCGCTGTGACCGAGAA